GGATCGCCAGCCCGCCCTGGGTCCCTGTGTACCGGCTGTCGGGTCAGGGCTGGGTCACTGGGGGGGTCCCAGAACAAGGTCTGTAACCCCCCCACCGTGTGCGTCTGCCTTCACCGGTGTCTCTCTCGTCCTAGTTCCCTTACGCTGCTCCACCTCCTCAGGAACCTGTGAAGACCCTCAGGAGCTTAATCAACATCCGCAAGGACACCCTGCGCCTCGTCAAGTGAGTCCTGCGGTGGGGATGATGGGCCGGGCCCCCCACGGCTGTGAGCCACAGGGAGGGAAGGGTCCGGCTGGATGCTCCCGGGAGATGCTGAGCACAGGGATGCTCTTGTCTCGGCACAGGTGGATGGAAGGGGACGAGCCACCCCTGTCCAAATGTGCCCCTTCCCCTCCCGGTGAGCTCCCCAAGCGCAGGCAGCGGCTGCGCTGGCTCCACCGCAGGATTAAAGAAGCTTAGTGCTGCCTTTGAAGTGCTTTGCTTTTTCTTCCTCCCCCACCTTCCAAAGGCTTTGTTGGAGAGAGGCTGGGGATTGCAGCCAGGACGGGAGGCTTGGGATTACAGCTGAAACCTGCCCACGGTGCTCCCCAGGCTGCAGGCCTGATCTTGGCCATGACATGCCCTCCTGGCATGCCTCAGTTTCCCCTGATGGAGGGGGCAGCCTCTTTTGGTGCCGAGGGGAACGTCATACCGGGGGAGCTGTCTCTGCCAGGGGGACAGTCCTGGGGCACCCTGAGCCGTCCCTGAGGGATGCCCCTCTCCCGGACCCTCTGTGCTCCCCAGGTGCTCGGAGGAGGTGAAGACCCCGGGGGAAGAAGTCAGCAAAGCCAAAGTGCACTACAATGTGGAGTTCACCTTCGACACGGACACCCGTGTGGCCATAACCATCTACTACCAGGCGAGCGAGGAGTTTCACAACGGGGTGGTGAGGTGAGGAGACCCAGCCTGGTGTGTCCGTGTGCCCCCAGCCAGGGCACGGGGCTCTGCTGATGGAGATGGACCCTCTCCTCCACATAACATCTCCCCTCCTTGGGGCACGAGGCAGCTGCTGGTGGTGCTGAGGATGGAGGAGGGTTCCTCGCCTCCCCCGGGTGCCACCACCAGGTCCCTCCCAGCCCCCACCGCCTCCTTCCCCGTCCTATCCTGCTCCCTCTTTTTACCTCCAGGTCAATGCTGAGACCAGGAGGAATCATTGTCCCTCCTGGTCCCCACCAGGTTGGCTGCGGAGTTGTCCCTGTCCCCTCCTGTCCCGTGTTTGCTGCCTTGGGGTTATTTTAGTCCCGTGGATTATTTTAGCCCTTTTTAGGTCTTCTTACCTCAGCCCCAAGAGGCATCCAGGAGGGGAGGGGTGGAGTGACTTCCCTCTCTCCCATCTTTCTGACATCCTCGTGAGCTGGGGCTGGGGGGACACTGCGGTGCTCCTGACTCTCTGCTCTCCCCAGCTACATCCCCCGGGACAACAGCCTGCAGTCGGAGACCGTGCACTACAAGCGGGGGGTGTGCCAGCAGTTCTGCGTGCCCTCCCACACCGTTGACCCCTCCGAGTGGAGCGAGGAGGAGGTGGGTCCCACCGGTCCGTGGCATCGACCGCGGGGTCAGGTACGGTTCCAGACATGGGATGAAGCCTCCGTCGCTGCTCCATCTCACCAAGGCTCTCCTCCTGTCTCTCTCCAGCTGGGCTTCGACCTGGACCGGGAGGTGTACCCCATGGTGGTGCACGCGGTGGTGGATGAAGGAGAGGGTGAGGAGTGGGTTCTTTGTTGGGTTGGGCTTTCCCAGTCACCTGGCACTGCGATGCCAACCCTTGCACTGACTGGGCAGAGCCTCCTGCTTCTCCTTGCTGCCACTGTGGCCCTGCCTGTCCCCTGAGCCCTGCACGTCCCTTTGTGTCTTGCAGAGCACGCTGGGCACTGTCATGTGCTGCTGGCCACCTTTGAGAAGGTAAGTGCCAAGCTGGGGCTGTCCTGCCCCCTCGCCCACCAGGTGCGAGCGACTGGAGAAACCCCGCGGAGCTGGGGACAGTGGTGCTGGGCTGGGGCTGTTTTGGAGCTGCTGCTGAAATTCTGGGAATATCCCTCAAATCCTTGATTTTAAGCACCCAATTCTAAGGCATTCAGTCTCCACTCCAACAAGTCTCCAGCCCTGTGATGTGTGGGACATCCCACACCTGCCTGGTACTGGGCTGTCGGGGAGAAAAACTGGAATTGCTGCAAAACGGGCTGGGTGGGAGCAGTGACAGCTGCAGGGTAGGTGGGTGGGTGCTCGGGCACGGCGGTCCCTGGGGTGCTCAGCCCCAGTGCCCACCCGTGTGCTCTCCTCCCTCCAGCACAGCGACGGCACCTTCTGCGTGAAGCCCCTCAAGCAGAAGCAAGTGGTGAGTGTCCGAGTGTCCCCGTGGGTGGTGGCAGCGACCGCCCTGCACACCCCAGGGGCTTTTGGGGAGCAGCAAACCCCGGTGTGTGCGGCA